GCCCAGGGCGTTCTGGACCTGCGCTCGGACTCCTCGGCGGCGGCGCCCCGCACGCCGGGCGCGGGGGGGCTGAAGAGAGGCCCCTCTGCTGGCAAAGCCCGCACGCCGAGCTCCGCGGATGGCGGCCGCTCAGACTGCTCTGGAGAGGGAGATTTTCGGGCTGCAGATTGCTCCCGCTCGCCGCCACAGTCTTCCGAGGGTCCGGGCAGAGCCGAAAGAGCACTACGCAACTCATCTACGGTTTCATCTTCCAGTCCCTTATCTTGTACAACGGAGGAATTTTCGGCATCAAAGTTTCTCATCCCGGTTTCACTGTCCTCAGACTGGCTCCGTTTCAGCGCTTTAAAAAGCACTCCCCAGGTGGCTGCCAGGCTACACATGCTGATATCTCCGTTAATGAATTCTGACCATAAATGGTCCTCTATCGACAGCCAAAGTTCGAGATCAAAGGCATTGTCTGTAGTTATATCAAAACCTTGCTCTTTCACCCACTGAAATAAAGCACGCATGGCATCTTCAGAAACACTGAGTCCCATGCGGGGCAGGGTATCCTGCCATGCAAGGTAGGCAAGCTGTTCATCAGCTGAAGTACAGTTCCCCATTATGAGGACTTTATCTTGGCGGCTCCGCGAATGCAATTATGCACACGCTATCGGCTCAGACCCGGGATTTTGAGCTCTGCTTCACCAAGACAGCCGTTCCAAGCCCGCTCACCGGCAGGGCTCCACTATCCCGTTGGTTTCCCGAACCAGCTTCCTCTAGGAAAGCCTGGGAGAATTCCACTTACCCCTCTAGGGGGAAGGGCTGGCTTTTTCCCGCTCGCTGCTTACCCTCAGGGGATTAGCAGAAGTCATGTCGGTTGCTTTCTGACCTCGGGGGTCGGCTGCACTTTACGTCGGGTTACCAGACCTTGGGGGTCGGTTCAACTTCACGTCGGCGGTCACCAGATGTCGTTCCGATTGGGAACGGCTAGAAAGAACGACACGGACTCTCAAGGGAGTTCCAACACGAGAATTCCCTAGTTTATTGTTTCAGGCCTGTCTTATAGACAGATACGTGGAAAAGTACAGAAAAGAAACTCTTATTGGTTAGCAAAGTGCTACATCACCATCATTGGTCAGGGGCACACAACCCCCCTGACTCCCTCCTGCAAGGAGAACAAGAGGACAGACAAACAGCACCTGGCAGTTGTTTTCTGTCTCTGAGGATTGTTTTGAAATCCTCCTTTGAATTCCCAGGCTAGCTTCTCAGGCAGGACTGAGAGGCCATGGGCCTGTAGTTTCTGCAGCTCCCTGCAGCCTGTTCCAAAGCTAGCATCCATAGATAAGTATCTTAAAGGGGGTGCCAGGAGGAGGAACCAGACTCTTTTCAGTGGTGCCCAGTGACAGGACGAGAAGTAATGGCCATAAACTAAAACACAAGAAGTTCTATTTCAACATGAAGAAGAACTTCCCATTGAGGATGGCAGAGCACTGTAACAGCTGCCTAGGGAGGTTGTGGAGTCTTCCCCTCCGGAGAAATTCCAAACCTACCTGGAATGTGGATTGCTGTGCCACCTACTCAGGATGACCTGCCTTGGCAGTGGGGCAGGACTAGAGGACCTCCAGAGATCCCTTCCAACCCTAACAATTCTGTGATTCTGTGATTTTTTTTAATTAAAGGTACTAAAAACCTGCCAAACCCCAAAGTGCTGGGCACAGAGCACAGTAGTGTGGGCAACACCCATCACCAGCAGCCCTTATATACACATGTGCCATTTGACAGTCAAATCAGCGAAAACATCCATGCAGTTGTCTATAAGAACAGCACTTGTCCATGCTGGTTTCTGAACAAGCCTGTTCTCTGCTCATGCACAAAGTCCAACCTCATCCAAAGCTCTGCACTGAATTTGGTACTGTTTCTCTTGGCTGCCTTTGCCAATTGCCACTAAGATTTACCCTCACACAAAAATGATGCTCTTATTTTGTGAGAACTGTACCTCAGCACTGTTATTAAGATCCAGGCTATGGGAAGGCAAGCCAAATCTGTGGAGGCAGGTCAGCCTGCCAAGGCTTTCCCGTGGACAAATGTGCCCTGAGGGTGCTGTGTTAAGCTTATCTCAACTCTCTCCTGGAGAGATACCCCTTAGATGGGACCATCCTACAACCCTGGCCTTCCCCCATAAAAACCCCAGCTTCTGCCCAGTTCAGCAGGGAGGTGTCAGCCCTGGCTACCCTTTGCAGAGCTGCTGGACAATAAAGGCTGTCTCTGGAATCACCACACAACGCTCCTGTCTCTCTATCTCTGAGTCAGCCCAGGATAACCTTGAAAGCAGAGCTGGAATCACTGAGCTGAAATTACTTGCAGCCACAGGCTGCTCCTTGCTGAGGTTACCCAGCGGCCAGGGATTGCCAGAGACCTCCGAAGGCTGTCTCTTGCAGAACTACTCTCTCTGGGAAAGTCGTGGCTCCCCAGGTCAGATGAACAGACCTGGCCTGGCCCACCACACCAATCCAACAGAACCTGCTGCTAGCTGTAGGCTGTATGCTGCATTATGTACTTTTGTAACCTATAAGAATAGGTTCCAATAGAGGTTCATCTTATCTGTGCCTGAGCATTTCACCATGTAGGGCACTGGCTCCAAAGCAGAGAGATGCTCTACAGAAAACACCTTTAGCGACCTAGCACCATGGCTAAGACCTAATGGTGTCCCACCTTCTCCTTCTCTCAACCTCCCTTTCTTCCCATTGTAGTGGTAAGGGAACACAGCAGCTGCTGGACAAGGCTAGCTCTCTCCGAGCCCAGTGGATGTGGTTTCTGCATAGCTTTTGATGGACCTTGGCTTCCCTACACTTCAGCAGCCTGACCAGTTTGCTTCTGGTCATTTTCCCATGGTTGTCTGTGCCTGTCTGACCACAGCAGTCTCTGTGCATATTCTCACATTCACTGTCCCAACAGTTCAGGTGAAAAAACAGTTTCCCCACTCTCCAGTCCTGACCACTCCAGCCAGACCTTTAGCCTTATTTCTGCTCGGCTTCTTCCACCACCTCTACATTATAAAAGGCAGGTGGCAGCTGCAACTTTGTCTAATACACATATAATATCTCTGCTTACTTTTAGTATTATTTCCCCCTGTTCATTCACTATGTGATGCAGTTAGTAGGCAACACCTTACCGTTCATATTCTCTTAGGACTTTTTCTTTTAACAGTGAAAATAATGTCACCAGTTTACCAAAAGAGAGAACCTGGGCTAGAAAGGAACATTTTCTTAAACAAGTGCAGCTGAAAATTTTAGAAGAAACCATCCCACCAAGACTGTGAGAATCACAAATAAACATTATTAATTGTCCCAAGATGGCTATGTGATGCAAAATGAGATGGTGGGCTCAGCATCTTCCAACACTCATGTCCAAATAAAAGCCAACGCCCAGCAGGATTGACAAAGGGGACTGACTGGCTTGAACAGCAAGACAGCTTCCCATGCCTTGGCATCTAACCATTACAATACATAAACTAACCTGCCCTTCTGGATCTCTTCAGGTAATGCACATGTCTCAAAAGAAAATGGATTTTATTTACAGGGAACTAAATAAAAGGTCTCTTTCCTGAAAAGAAGCAATCTATCTTATAATCCTTTTATTCTTTGCATTCCTTTGGTCTACTTTTACTTCTAAACACTACTCCACAATAGTAAGGGAAAAAAAAAATTCAAAAGAGGAAATGAAAAATTGCCAAGCAAAAACATTCCTTAAGCAAGCAATTGCACTGAGACAGCTGAGGGAAGAATGGCCAAGACACCAATTGGGGTCTCAGTAGATAGGCTTTTCTGCATAGCTCCCTTTCCACAAACATCTTCTGCTTGCCTGTGATTTGAACAGGATTACTCAGGTAGCAAGAAGACTTCAACATACACTTGGAAATATGTGTGTTTAGTCCAGGATATGCATATTAATTGCTTTCATTACAGCCTCCAAAAGCAGATCTCAGATGGAGGAAAAGTCTGACTGTGGGTAAAACCATATCAGCCTGACCACGAAGAGCTTCACTAGGTAGTTTTACCTTTGTGTCTGATGCTCAGTAAGAGCCCTTGGGGCCGGCGAGAGGTTGGAGAAGTGGGAATACCCTCGCAGCAGGCAGAAGGAGGAGGGCGGGAGGAAGGCAGAAAAAGGGCAGGCAGGAGGAAGTGAGCAGGAAGGGGGCAGCAAGGGAGGAGGGCAGGCAGGAGGGCAGGCAGGAAGGCGACAGGAGAATGGCGGGCAGTGAGAAGGAAGGAAGAGAGGAGGAGGACAGGCAGAAGGAGGAGGGCAGGCAGGTAGATAGGTAGATAGATAGGTAGGTAAGTAAGTTAGCAAGCACGAAGCCTGGAAGAGGAGTGCAAGCAGGAGGAGAGTAAGTAGGCAGGTAAGCAGGAAGCCCAGGAGGAGGAGGAGGGCAATAGCCGTCCCGGGCCCGCCTCCCACGGTCCCTCCTCCCGGACGTGCCGGGCCAGCTGCTGTTCCCCCGAGCCGCCGTCCCGCGCCCGGCCAGGCTCCGCCGCTGCCTTCTCGACCCCGCGCTGCGGGCGGGGCTAGCCCCAAGGCACCCCAGGAACGCGTGCTCGCCCCAGGAGCAGCAGAGACCCCTCGGCGCGGCTCCCCTGGCTGCCGCTGCCGTGCCCCGGCCGTGCCGGAGGCGTTCCGTGGGGACCGCTCTGGGTCACCATGTCCCGCGGGGTCAGCCGCTGGCCGGTTCGCCTCCTGATGATCACCTGCGTGATGGCCGGGCCGGCGCTGAGCCAGGAGTGCTCCGCGGAGAAGATGGAGAATTCCATCATCGATATAGACTTGTCCCTGCCCCGCGGCGTCCGGGGCGCGGAGCCGCTGCGCGTCCCCAGCGCGGGTGCGTGTGTCCGTGCCTGCTGCTCGGGGCACCGGCTCGCAGGTAACCTCGGCCTCCTTCTCCGCCACTGCCTGGGAGAATAATTCTGGAATTTGGGCTCGCGGGGTGGTCAGCTGCTGGTGTTCTCCGTATTCAGCACGGAATTTACCCTCTCATTCAGGCCACGCTTAGTTCCACCTTGAACTAAGCACCTTAAGGCTGCTACCTCCTTTTGCCAGTAGACATTAGATCTTAACACAAGACCCCATAGGGTTCAGGAAAATAGCTGCATCACAGAAACAGCGTTAGTTTTAGGTATTAAAACCTCCCAAATCCCAAACCCCGAAGGTGCGTAAGCTGTATTTACTAGATGCACTAAAAGTAGCTGATAATTTGCACTGTATTTAATTTTAGCCGAGAATGAGAATGCTCACGCTCCTCTGAGACAGCAGATTTAAATCAAGCTCTTGGAGCAGGAGGAGGTAGAGCAGCAAGTAGAAATGTCAGTGGTGAAGGTGACCCCCCAAAGCAGCAACTAGCCAAGCAATTCCTGAGATGTAATAAGGAAAAATGTCTAAATAATTTTCTTCCCTGTGAGTATATCAAGGAGGTTTTCAGATTTATCAGGATTTGTAAGTGAGAAATTGTTGTAATAAAGTGGTGCCAGTGTGGTATGGGTGAGGGGAGGATGAGAGATTAGACTCATAATTTCCCCAGCTTTATTTGTACAGGAAAAGGAAGGTGTGACCTTTCATATTTTGGCCCTGGGCCATTCTTCTGCAGTCCTTGGCTGTTTTTCCTGTAGGAATGTTATGTGTTAGTAGTTTTCCTCTTACTCATATGAGCAAAAGTTAACGAACTAGATCTCATTACCATACTGCTATAAAAGTTCTTATTGCTGAAACAGGCATTTACTTTGTTTTGCAGGAGACAAGAAGTGTAATTTGATTATTTTTTATGCTGCAAGAACAAGTACACATCCAAACTGCTACTTGTTTTACTGTCCTAGCATGGAGGCTTGTCCAATGAAACCTGCAACAGGTCTTGTGAGCTACAAGATAACTACAGGTAAATCATAGTGAGAGCCATCGCTCCCTACACTAGATAACTTTTCCACCTGTGAACTTTCAGTAGTGATCAGGAACTGTTTGGGGGTCATATTTTTAGCAAAGTGTTCTAATCCAAGCATTATGATTTGAAAATATTGCTCTTTTTTGTTGTGAAGGATGGGTAGGCAGGTGTGTGATGAGCTCCATTGTGGGCCCAGCTTCCTGCTTGGAATAATGTCCCAACCCTTATAATATTCCTTCACATTAGATTCAGAAATCCTCATAATTTGTCCTTGCTTAAAACAAAAAGAAGCTTCTTCCATATAGATATAGCCAAGAAGGAATATTTCCTGTACATAATGCTGAAAAGTATCACAAAAACTGATGGAAATACCATGCCCTTATAGCCAGCTATGTATTTAAAGGACCCATGCTACACTGATGAATAATTGTCAAAAATAATAAATAATCATTATTTCCTGCTTTCAGTTAGAGAACCTGAACTGCAGAAGCAAATTTTCTAAACTCAGAGCTTTATGGCTCAGGAATTTCTTGCTCTCTGGCCTATGCTGTGGTATTTTTAACAGCAAGGCCTACTTGTTGATTGACATTGACTTGCACTAGACCTGTTTGAACAGCTCAGATAAGAAACTGATAATTAGACTGTCCTGCCAAGGTGGTTTCTGTATGGCTGCTTGAGAGACCAAACTTTTGCTGAAAAAGAGAACTTTTCCAAGAGGAACTATGCAAGGAGCAACAGTTTGATATACAGAAAGATTACTCACGTAATGTTACCAAGTATTTCTGTGCAAGCTAAATCACACAGGAATCATACAAAAGCAATGTGCAACAAATGAACTGCATTTCTGTAAAATGTTTACTATTATTATGCTTTCCTCCAGCTCTTTCTCCCCTAAAAGAACATCGGGGTTTCAATTAAAAAAACAAGAAATGCAATCATGCTTGTGCTTTTGTTTGACATGTAATGCAATGCTGAGTGAACAACTTGATTGCATTTAACACTTTCTTTTTGGAAATTTGATCTTCCCACTGAAGATCAAATTGAATTGTGGGAAGATTATGCTAGATTGTCTAGTGTTCCTGGTAAATTTTCAAAGGTAGCACCTGATCAGTGTCAGTAGCAACAAATGTTTCAAGCTTCCTTCTTTCATATGAGAATCTCTATGTGGTTACACTGAAAACCAAGCTAAAGGGGGAAAGAGACTTCTTTAATTATTTATTTCAATTCCAGCGCAGTTAACAAACCTTTTTGTTTCAATATTAAAAAGAGATGAGTGAGAGTCAGAACTACTTGAGAGCATGTTCCCTTTAAAATGTTCTGTGCAGCAGCTGAATGGTTATCATGAATATATTATATATATTTCTATATTTTTATAAATATAATTATAAAATTATATGTAATAGAGATTGACAATTAGTGCATCTTTTCAAGAGCTCATGCTTAGCCAAATATTTTCTATAATACCTGTAAGTCAGGTAAATACTGTAGAAGAAGTACTGTAAAATCAGGTAGTTTTTAGGATTATTATTTGTAATATACATATTATTTGTATGGTATTTCTGAACAGAACACTGTTATGTGACTAGGCTTGAAGCTGACAGCTTTTTATGACATAGAATTTAAATGCCACTGTGCATATTTTAAAGAAGGAAGTTTCATTAGTCACTATCTCATAGAGCCCCCTTACATAAATGTTCCTAAGAGACACAAATAATTTGTATACAGTATTGTAATAGAGTTTGCCTACATTAATCAAAATGAGATTTAATAATTAAATACCAGTATTTATTCTTTCCAGACATCCATGCCCCAGAGGATAAATCCATCAAAGCTGAGAACTTTTCTTCAAATGAGTATTTTTTGCCTTCAGATGCTGAAACCTTCATTCCTCATAGTCAGGATATCCATTGGAATCACACTGCCAGCTTGCAGAAATCTGTCTTTCATCAGGCATCTGAACTCTTGAACCACATAGGCAAGCATTTGGATAACATGGAACTTGATACAGTTTTTCCTGAATCTCAAACAGAAAAACAGTCTGAGAGCTTAGACCCCATCTCAAGGCAGAAAATAATTACTCTGCCACCAAACACACTTTCTTCTATTCCAGTTGGAAACCCGACTGCTTCATTCACCGCCGCTGCTCAGTCAGGCGCTCTTGAAACCACAAGTGCTTCTCTTACTCCACTGCCAACAAGTACTGCCCAGCTGGAGCCTCACACAGCCTCTCTGCAACCTGGTGCTGTTCTTCTTTCCAAGCCCATAAATTCTGCTTCTACTGCTACAACCAAGCAGGTGACCATGAATTCCAGGTCTGCTACTGCCCCATCAGGGTTGAGGACTCCAGCCATGGCTCCTGAGCCAACAGTTGTTTATTCCAGTGATACCAGCCATGTGAACCTCCTCTCTTTTCCAGGTTTTGTTCTGTCCAGTGATTCCCCTGCATCTTCCCAAAATGACCTTCAGGGTTATGGCCCATCTGACTCAGAAAGCTCCCTGTCAGAAGGTGTTCTGAGAGGGAAAGGTGTCTTTCAGCTGGGGGAAAGAAGCAGCCTTGTAGCAGCTTTGTTTTTTGGGGTGATATTCTTGTTGCTAGTTATTGTGCTCACAGGGAAGAAAGTACACGAATCTCTTCAGAGGAGGCATTATACCAGGCTGGATTACTTGATCAATGGAATGTATGCTGATGTCTGACTGGGAGAGGGAATAAAATTTTGAGGAGCATCTCTCACTTTTGAGAGAACTCTGAAATGGAACAGTAGATACTGAAATCTCGAAAGAGGATGGATTCCTTTTTTGGGGTTCTAATAGGAAAGCAGGAGACAGGAGATGGGTTTGGTGGTGAAAAGGAATGCTCTGTCTGTGCTGAGCTATAATGTCTGTCATTTTTGATTTATTACTAAATCCTGAGAGTAAACACTTAAATCCAAGTTAAGCTAAGAAGGTCTTAGATTTAAGGAGAAAAAGCATTTCAAGAGCTTAATCTGTACTGTGACAAGATTAGTGAAATTGAAGTACACCTAATAAATTGAGTACCTGTGCAGCACGTGGATGTTTTCAGTGCTATTTACACCAAATGCCAGACTGTTACAAGATTGCCTGGCAATCCTATTTACTCTATTTGTAGCTTTAAAGGAATACTTTGTAATAAAGCTTTGCATCCGAATGGTTTTAGGTACAAACAGGGAAAAAATCTATTACATATGACATAACTTAATTTTCCTTATCTAGTTTATGGCTATGTACATATCTTTAAAGTTCTTCATACATCTGCATACATCACAATTATCCTTAAAACTACATGCTGCAACTGTGAGTGTTCTCAAAGCACACCCTGTTCTCTTCTAGTGTCCCCTTCATGTGACTGGTAATAAGCATAGCTGCTTAGTAACAGTTATCTTGATATTTGAGTTTTTTTCCAACCTAAACAACTCTATGATTTTATGTTTTCCTGACTCTTCAACAGGGAGAGTAAGTGGGAGCATCTACTGCCACACAACTTCCAGTTCATGTTATTTAAATTTCCCTTCGCGTATAGTCAGTCTAAACCTGGTTTTAGAATGAAAGGCTAGATTTCAAAGTATTCATGTCAGGTGGCATAATCAACAACAAACATCACAGCAGAGAAGAAAGGGTGCCTCATGAATGCAAGGGAACAATTCTATTACAAAATATGAAATTTGACTCACATCCAAGAGATGCTTAGATCTGTCAAGCTTAGTGTGGTGGGAAGCAGGCGTGATGCAAAAAATGGCCTCAAGGCAAGTTTTCTGAAAGCTCTAAATAACTAAATGCAGAAAATTCTCTGAAAATTCCATTATTCAAAGATCAAAGAAAAATCGGTGTTCCTTGTGTCAAGAGCTTGAATTCTTACTATATGCAGGCTGCAAATTGCTTTATATATATATAAACCCAGCTGGTCTGCTACATTGTTTAAGTCTGACAATGGTTAAAAGAAAAGCAGTCTGGATAACCTCTTAAAAGTGAATAAAATTACAGAAGAAATGTACCTCAAATTTATCAGCTTGTTTGTTGACTGTGTTTTGTTTAACCTCGTTTTCTTTTCTCTTTAATAGCTGTTTTCAGGGATTTCTGGTCAAGGAACGTAACAAGGAGGAACATTTTTGGGAAGTGAGTTCACAGAATGATAAGTACTAGGCCTAGCTGTAAAAATGCAGATGCAGATCTGAGGTTGACCATAATTTTCTCTCATAAGATCTGCAACCTTCATGAGAAGCTTTCTGTATTCTGGTGCCATCACAGCACCACACAACACAGCAGGAGAGGTGCTGAGAACAACCCCTGAATGCTCACTGTGCATCTCTGCTGCAATAAATAATTTGTTGGAGGGAAAGGTGATTGGTATTAATTGATATGGTCACAGTACAGTAGCAAAATATTCAAGAGAAACCAGCAGATGTATCTCAGGGTTGTTCAGAGCATAGGTCATGTATTCAGCTGGAGAGGGGCATTTTACAAGGACATGTAGTGATAGGACAAGGGGGAATAGCTTTAAACTAAAAGAGAGAAGGTTTAGATCAGTTATTGAGAATAAATTCTTCCCTGTGAGGGTGGTGAGGCCCTGGCACAGGTTGCCCAGGGAAGCTGTGGCTTCCCCATCTCTGGAAGTGTCCAAGGCCAGGTTGACCAGGACTTGGAGCAACCTGGGCTATTAGAATGTGTCTCTGCCCATGGCCAAGGGTTGGAATGAGCTGATCCTTGAAATCCCTTCCAACCCAAACCACTCTTTATTAAGTGTGGCCCATGGCGTTAGAAACAGTCCTCCAGCCCAATCAGCAGTGCATGCCCAGCAGGGTGAACGGCAGAGGTAAAGCTGAGAGGTGCACAAGTACCAAGACTGATTTGGTGAGGGTGCTGACCTCAGTGACTTTTCACAACATTTGAGTAAAGCAAACAACTTTAAAAGTTGTTACATGAAAGATCTTCTTCTATTCTGGAGTAAAGAAAACCGAAGCACTTTTTAAAAATTATTTTTCCCATCCATTTGTCACGTTGGATTAAGAACTAACGGGGAATTAATTGGTAGCTGACCAGTTTGGATCTTTCTGGTGGGGTCTTTACAAGCTGTGTTTGAACACTAGAGGGCAACAGCAGTTTATTAAATAGAATTGACAAGTTCGAGGATTTTTGATGATTTTTAAAAAGTTTTAATTAGGGTTTTTTTTTAACTTCCCAGACTATGGCTATTTTATTGCAAAAAGGTTTTATAGGAAAGCTTTTTGTTTATTGGAAGGGTCTGGGTGGAGGATTATACAGACATATTTTTAAAACTTTTTATTGTATCATATGATGTAGAAAATAACAAAACTAAGCATATTCTCTATTTTAATAGCATTGAATCAGGTTGCATTATTATTGGCATTTCCAGTTAATAGAGAAGGAGAGATTTCCCATCATTATTCTTTTGACTATGATGCTTTATTATATGCATTTTTGGAGCTTATTTATTTGCCTGGATAATGCTTTTGTATTATGAATGAAAAAGGAGCAAGACAAAGTAACTAAAAAAATCCATCCAGTTTGTTATGCTTTCCAGCGTTAAAACTTCTGTGCACTCTTCTATTTTTCCACTGACATCTTCTGTGGTCTTCACTGTGCACCACATATGGAACTGAATCATTATTCACCACACTGTGATGACAAGCCTCACACTGGGGTGGCTCTTTCTGAAGATAGCCAGTTCTGTTATGGCAGAAGGCCAAAAGCTGATTGACTTCTGTCACCTGGAGAGTTTCATAAATTCTGTAGCTGCTTGTTTTTATGTTGTTGCTTTATGGTGCTGAGCAAACATAAACAGTAAATTTGCACAGTGTAACTATAGACTGTCATGAACTAAACTGTCTTGTGGTATTATACAGTAAAGCAAATAGCCCAAATTTTATAACCGCTGCAACCAATCTTAAAAAAATAAATTGTAGATCTATTTGGGATGGGTGAGAAGGGTGCAAAGTCCCTTCCTCAAAGGGCGGCAAATTCAGCATTGTGTGTTCTCTGCAAATAGTGCTTCAGTTCATTTTAATGCCTGTAGGAGCAGGAAATGCTTACACTCAGAATTATTTCAAGTAAATTACTAACCAACCAACAAAACCCAACAAACAAGGAAATAAAATCACCAAAAAAAAAATTTACATGAGAAGGCAGTTTCAAAAATGGAAATTGTTTTCCTGCCTCCTGCAAAACCATCTTAGTGGAATTGAATCTGATGACACACTTTGATCCTACTATCCCACATTCCATGCTGATAAAAACACGGAGTTTAAAGTGCCAGTGCTGCAGTCAGCAGTTCCCACACAGTATCCCATCACACAGAGAGCTATACTTTTGCAGACTTTTTTTCTGTCACCCTCCTGAAATGGACCTAGACAGCTGTGCTCTCCCTGTGCATTACTCACCCTCTCATGAAGCTCATGAGCCTACCAGGGATAGATCAATAGCCATGCTCTGGAAGGATGTACTGTAGGCTCCAGAAATACGCCACAGCATAGGGTAAGGAAAAAAGCCCATGGTGTTTTGCAGCACAATGTTAATATCTCCTAAGTTCTGTTATTCCATTGGTTTGTTCAGTTAATGTAAGCAGTTCAGCCCCTGTTTGCTACACACATATGTTCCCCAGAATGTTCTCTTTTCCCTATTTTCCTGTTGTTTCCTACCCTTTGCCCCACCAATGTATCGCCCTTGTGCTCCCAGATCATTTGTCCCTGATTATCTGCTCTGCCCCATCTTACCCTGTACTTATGCCTGGACCCTCCCTTTTTGTGGGTCTTTTGTTCCTGGACCCGTTCGGTGTGTGGCTTCAATAAACCCTGTTGGATCTCCATACAGAAGATCCTAGCTCCCTCTGCTCATCGTCAGCTATCTGTGGCTGGTGTGTGTGTGTGGACAGGGTGGCTGTTTGTGTGCCTGCCTGAACGCCTTCTTGTGGAGATGCTTTTGGGAAGGTAACAGCAATTTACCATCCACCCATGCTTCTACACTCTCATATAGGTAATATACTTTTCTACATTCCTATTCATTGATAGTTACAGGATAGCTGCATCCCCTCATCCTTGAAGTCTTGCACATCCTTACAGGAGTGTACATGCTGTTCCCAGATGCTTTCCCAGTGTTGTGATAGGTATGCCCCCTGAAGGGCTAGGATATATTGAACATTTTTCTTCCTCTTCAGAAAGCCTACACTCAGTCTCACAATCTAAATTTGCTTTTTTTCCTTTAGGTCTCTATATTTCTTGAGGATGTCAAAGTGCAAAGCATAAAACTGCTGTTCTTTGTCACCTGTGTGTTTGGTATTATAAGCAATGTATAAAAGTGTTTTTAAGTTTCAGTACAACTATGCTGGATCCTTGTTTCCTGTATATTGGCTCACTTAATTTTAAAAAAAGGCCTGAGGGTCATGCATTAACTTCTCTTCTGTTTTTCTCTTGCTCCTCTCCTTCCATCCTATAAAATGTTATTTTCTTACATGGCAAGAGTTTAACATATGCTATGTTCAAGCTGTTTTGATCCCTCTTCTTTTTGGTTCACTTTCTTTTAATAGAAAATTGATGAAGAAAATTGAAAATTCTGTCATACCAATAATATTCAGGAGTAGTAATCAGATAATTTATGCACTCTGTATTTTCTCAAAGAAATTTAACAAGCAGTTAACATCCAGAACAACTGGCTAAGCCATAAGGAATGTTTTGAAACATTTGCTGATTTGAACAGTCACTCTGAAGACTGCAAAGGTGTTTCATCATAATGCTGTGATGGTAAGGATGGTTATATGAGGTAAAATAACTCTTCGTAAGATGCTTTGGTACCAGCTACCTCAGAGCAGCTGAATTCTGGCTGAAAGTTACCAGGAACATCACCAGGGTTTCTCTGTGCTTCCACTTGCACTGAAGAACAGATGTGGTCAGTGGAGCTTAGACTTTGACCCTGTGGCTTTTGCAACAATTCTCAACAACACCTAGATGGAAAATTTGCACAAAATTGAAATATACATTGTTGTGTTGCGAAGATGGTGGATGCCCCCTCACTATGACACAGATCTCCTATAGACTTGCCTGCTGTTTAACTAGTTTCTTTGTAAATTTTTCTGTTTGCTTTTGTGAAAGAACTTTTTTCCCCTACACTGAAACCCAAGTTCCACTGGCACTATTGAAATACTTGTAAGTATTTGGATACTACAAGCAAGGTTTTTCTGATCCTCCAAGTAAGGATCCGAGTTAGTTTGGGTCCTCTGAGTAAACTGTGAATGAAATGATCCCTTTACTACCGTGGTCATGTGTTATGTGTGTTTGTCAGTACGGCTCCAATTGGTGTCAGTGGGAAGTCTTCCAGCACGTATTTATAAGTCAAGTCCTCCCACTTAGAGGCTCATTAACTGTTCAAAACAATTGCCTTACAGGATGACAGAACATCTCAGCTCAGAGGTAAAATTTTGAAAGAATCTGTAGAATATTTTCCCAGCTGCTTCTGATTATTTAACTATGATAATGTTGTCCTTCTTTGGTTCCAGGGCATGAAATAAGGAATTCAAATATTTTTTCACCGTGTGATAATTAAGGCAGTGCTTCTGGAAATATTCCAGATTCGGCACACACTCTGTTTTGCCTTTGCTCTGGTTTAGAAGAATTTGATTGTGAGATAGAGTTTTAAACCCATGAGAACAGCTCACTCCATGTTTCTCACTGCCAAACAAGATACACACGTGGCATTTCCTACACTGACAAAGCATAAAGCAAAGGTAGACCACATTCAAGTGAACATTATAAAGAATGGTAGAGTTTGAAAAGTGAAAGCCTGAATGCTGAAATCTATCCACATGCTACATCTAGCAGAGTAGCTACATATGGCAGCGTTTCCAGAAATATGTCAGACACTCCATCTCAAGGATGAGTTTAAGTGTAGTTAAGTGCTGGGATGTTTTTGCAGCTGCCAAAAATGGGTATGCTTGGTGATGGTAATGAAAATTATTTCAGAAACATTGACAATAGCAAAAACAGCAATCGAAGAAG